AGGGTAGAAAATTTGTATGAAAATTTTTACTGCGTGGGCACATTAGATTGAAACTTAGGTCATAAAATGTGAAAATAATAATAATTAATGATCTGTAAAGCGTTTTTATGAAATTATCCCTTATTGTAAACTTGAAAATTAAATTAACTTTTTTGTTTCATTGCACAAAATTATTTATCATAACTGAAGTTCCAGACAGCTTGGTAGCCTGAATGGCCCCAGGCTTTTGCCCATGCACACTAAGTGACTTTCATTACAAACATTTAGCTTTCCAAAGTCTATGAGAACAATTATTTGGCATTGACGGCTGTGAATTTCGTGCCAATAAGCTGCCTGATGGTTTGATTATGTTATCAATTCAATTTCATATTTATTTTCACATTTTCACTTCACAGTCCTTCTCTGTTCTTTTTTCGTTATTTACATGTGTAGGTCATTTCATTTTTATTCACATTTGATATCATCACTTATCACATACTGCCATGACACTCATGTCTGTTTGCTACAACTGTCAAGAATTAACGCGATTTGCGAAGTGTGGTGACAGCGGACCAATAGAGAGCAGGGTGCGTAATCCTTGCCAAAATGCGATTTGTGTGCCAATTTTTGTATGTGTGTTAATCAAGACAAATATTCGGTATTTGGCCTGAGGCCGAATATACTATTCATTGTATCACTACTTATTAACTTATAATTATTTGTAATAAAGCTTCACACTATTTGAAAAACACGCTCTCCCAATTTGTTTGTCATTCCATTTGGTTTCTTGCTTTACTGGAATTGAACCTATAAATTCTTATAGCTAGTTATCCAGTAATAATAATAATAATAATAATAATATTTTGTCTGATATATTCAAAAAATAATGACAATTGTGCCTTTCATCCACAAAGTGGTCATCATTTTATCTTCTGCATTGTGAAGGGAGATGAGAACTGCTGCAGATTAAACAAAAGTTGATAAAGAAAAGGGAAGTCTATTGGAATACATAAAGATAAGTGAAGAGGAATTACTGAAAGATGTTAAGAATGCCAAATTGCTGAAAATAAAAGAAACAAAGGAAACATACCAAAAGGTGCTGTTGATAACAGAAAGGGAATATGGAAAAAATAAAATCTTTCATAACTAGTATCTTAAAAATATTGAAGGAAAAGTTGACAGTAAGAGAACACGATGTGGCTAAGAAAAGAGACATTAAAGAAAGAAACAGAAGGCCTTATTCTTACCACACAAGAACAAGTACTAATATAGATATTCCCTGTATAACACGATAGTTAGGTTCCCAAAAAAAAGTGCAGTGTTATGTGAATTTGTGCTATAAGAAACAAAACAGGGTTAGGTTCCAAAAGTTAGCAAAAGTATACTATTCTTTTTTGTAATTGAGAGAAATATGTTTATTAAAACAATCAATAATTAACTAACAATCACAATCAAAAGTATTGTACATTAATATTCTTCACTGCTAAACACTGTTAAAAGAGGACTTTTTGGCAAAATGTCGTCATCTGACTTTTCTTATTGACCTTAATCAAGGGCTTCGGAGTCGGAGTCGTGGAGTTTTGGTGTTTTAGCCGGAGTCGGTAGATTTTTACCACTCCACAGCCCTGGCAGGACTGTGGAGTCGAAGTCGTGGAGTTTTGGTGTTTTAGCCGGAGTCGGAGTTGGAGTCGGTAGATTTTTACGCGACTCCACAGCCCTGCCTTAATCTGAAATATCTGCAACATCTTAATTTTTCTCTAAAAATAAAAAAAATATATATATATATATATTTTTTTTAAATATATTTTCTTTCTAACATTTTCNTAAATATATATATATATATAATCGAATGACTGTTTGCACTTAAAAATTGTGATGTTTTGTAGGGGATGTCTCCAATTCTTGAACCACATTGTAAGGGGGGATTTCCTCAATTCTCAGTGTTGTAAGGGTAATATTTTCAATTCTTGAACTGTATTGTAGAAATGCCATGTTGTATAAGGGATACCTGTAATGAATGCAATTAAAACACCAATTTAAAAGTCCATATAATAATTCCAAGTGCTGTATCTGCAGAGAGAGTGAAAAGATCATTGACTACATCATAAGTGTTGCAAGAAAATTACACATACCAATTATCTTGAATGACATAACAGCAATGAGTCATAAAATCTTTGCAGAAACTATGGCTTTTAGTGTAGCAAGACTTGATATGATCACAAAGTAGATTAAATTGTAGAAAACAAAAAGAAAAAAAATATTTGGGATTTTCAAATACAAACAGATAAACACATGACTCATAATACCTAGACATTATGTTAATAGGAAAAAAGGGATGGATTATAGATGGGTCAGTCCTAGGTAACAACAGGATGGAGGAGAAGCAATTAGAGAATGAACCTAGCAAATTGGAGCTGAATGACTGTAGAAAGCATAGTTCCAATTGTAGTTAGATAGAGCACTAAAAGCTATTATAAGGATCTATAATAATATCTAAAGAACTTAGAGCTTGATAGAACTAACATTCATATGCAACAGAAGACTGTACTAAATAGAACAGTACATATAGCTCTCAGTATGTACTGTTCTACATAAAGAAAAGGAGCAATTTAAAATTTGCTCCTTTTCTTTTAGTGCCATGTGCTGAAAGTAGAAGGATAAAGAATCATTTGCTAAGTAAAAAATCATATCAATAGTTGTCATTATTTCATATTACACTGTCAAAAATTGATAACTGGTTTGAGGGTATGATGTTGCTCTTTCTGAAGAGGAATATAGCCATAATGAAATAATCAAGAGATGCAAGAATGGAGTCTGTTTTGTTGTTATAAGAAAAGGAAAATTTAGATAAGCTGAAAATGTGGGAGACCATGGCATTCTGTAAACTGCAGTCTGCTCCAAGTTGGACATCTACCATAGTGAAGAAAATGAAGGTCTTGTAATTGGGTTTATCCCAATTACAAGACCTCCCAATTACAAGATCCTCAGCACCTAAAGAGACATTACAAAGAAAGTAGGAACTTCCCTATCAATAGTTAATTGAATAATTTCTGAAAATCTAGAGCTATGAAAGAAATACAAACCCAAGGTACAAGCTTTTCCTTTGCCATATTGCTGAGAGAGAAACCAACTGTAGAAAACTACATCAGAAGTACTCAGACAGGTGAGAAGTGAAAGTTTGTCATAACTCTTGATGAAGCATGAGTGTACTTGTAAATAACAGCAAACATAAAAACTGGAACTGTACAACAGTGAAACTAACATCTATATGTGATTTCCAGCAAATAACTGTAAAGCTCTTAATGTGTTATGTCACAATTTAGAGGCTCTCCTCAGGAGGGGGAACCATCAGTTTTATTATTTGACTGAGAATTCAGAGAACATTAAACAGATTAAGGAAAACAAAAATAAAAATAAATGAATGCCTTTGATTTATTTTTTATACTTTTCGATAACAATATGTATCGAATATCTTTTTGAATGTTTGGAATTTCTATTTTAAACATAATGGTATTCTCCGTTGAATGATAGAACTGTTTGTTTTTTTTTCCTCCTGAGGAGGACCTCTAAATTATGATGAAAATGTTAGAGCTTTACAGTTATTTGCTGGAAATCACTTATAGGTGTTAGTTTCACTGGGTGTACTTGTCCAACATGAATAAAATTTTAGTGATATACTACAACCCAAAAGACCAAAAACACTTTTCAACTTTTGTCTGTGAATGTATGGAAAGAAAACTTGCAATGATCATGAATGCCTTTTAGCAAAGGCTTTATGATCATTGCAGCATATTGGTTCAAAGATCAGTCAACTCTAGTTACTATCAGAGAAAAGTCCATGTTCAGGCAAAATTTTGTTGTGTGATATGGAGACTTTAAAGGTATGGTTCCATCAGGACAAAGTGCCAAAGCAAAGGTCATACTTTATGTTCACCTCTTCCATTTCTGGAGAAGATGGAGGAAGAAAGTTGATACCCATTTTACCATATCTGTTAAATCATCCAATGCAGCACTCATGGATTTCTGTGCTTTTGGGCTACTAAAAAGAGCATTTGAAAATTATTGATTTTAAACATTAGACAGATAAAGGAAGACTTGCAGTAACAAATGAGAGAAACTGGATCAAAATACTCAAGAAGAGCCTTTTTGAAATGGAAAATGGTTATTGCCTGATTTGATATTAGGCAATAACCATGTAACCAGGGTAAGCAGATGGAACATAATAGATGGTGGAGGAAGGATTTTTTCTGAATAACTAACAACTATTAAGAATGTTTTCACAAGGCTGAAACAATCTTCTACATTCTGTATAAATATCATTGGATCAGTGATAGTGAACCCATGACTTGCAGGTCACTCAGTGATCCATCTGACAATTTCAAGATATATACATTGAATATTTAGAAAGTATTAGGTTTTTATAAATTATAGTTTTAAAATCTATCAAATATTTTTTATATGTAGTATAAAAGCAATGTCCTAAAGCTGTTGTGAAATGCCTTAGTATATTAATTATGAATCTCAGATAGAAGAATTATATAAAATATACAGAAGCATATTTCCCATTAAACAAAATATTTCATTTTGTTGTAATCATATTATTTCATTTTTACTTATACAGAATTTATTGTTATTTTTCTGATATAAATTAAAAAGTTAAAGTAAAAATTTATAAGCATTTTCCCCCCATATTTTTAATTACTCAATTATTTGACCTGTGATTTAGAGTTAATAAATTTTGAATTCAGTTTTGCAATAATGCAGCAATAGAGCAGCAATGGTGAACTTTGAAAAGTCCATCATTGCTACTAGACATTTCATTTATTTCTAATTTAAAACAAAATTTTTCAGTTATGCAATGCTTGTTATAAAATTTATAACAAACATTTATTAAAGTAAAAATTATTCTTAATTTTAATAATATGTAAATGAAAAATACAAAAGTTAAAAAAATGTATTTTAATGAATTTATTTTTTAAATAAGTTGTGAAGAAATTAAATTATTTATATTTATCTTAAAGGTTTATCAAATCATCCTTCTAATGTGAAAATGAAAGGAGTACCCATTCAAATAGTAATTGCTAAGGAAGGACATATATTTGAATTAGATGAAGAAGCTTTGGAAGCAATTTTATTACAAGAGCATGTTCGTGATAAACAAGTAGTAGTAGTATCTGTTGCTGGTGCCTTTCGCAAAGGGAAATCATTTTTATTAGATTTTTGTCTTCGTTACATGAATGCACAAGTAAGTAAACATCGTTTGAAATTTTTATAAACTTTTTAATGAATACTGTTTGACATTGAAATACTTAACTTGATCTATAACCTTATTAGTTTAAAAGATTTTTCATTCTGTATTTTCTTATATCAATTTATTATTGAAAATTTAATACTTGTGATTAGATAAAGTTTCAATCCATGTGCAAGCACTTATTTTTGGCTATTCAGTATAAAAAATGATTTGCTATAAGTATTATCAACTTCATATTTATTATTTCAAATTATTAACAGTTTTTAATAATTATAAAAGAGTGAAATTTTAAATGAATATAGCAGATTTATTATTAAAGCATTTGAAGTTTAAGTTTTTTAAACAGTATACTGTATTTGATGTAAAATAATATGTAGAAAATTTGTTGCTGTAAATATTTTGTATTTTTTATTAAGTATAAATAAAATAAAATGCTTGTTTAGGAATATGATTCATTGAAATATTAGAATATTTTTATATGTTGAAAAACACAAAATTGATTTATTATTTAATAATTATATGAAAATTTTTAACTAAATTATTAAAAAAAATGAAAATTGGAAATTTTTAATGTTGAGAGTTTATAGCCTTTAATGTATCTAATTAAAGGCTATAAATTAAAAATATAAGTAAGAAAAATTAATTATATATTTAAACAGATATAAAATATTGCATTTAATCTAGTTTGGGATGAAGCAATATTTATATTTAAATTTTTTTATTTTTTATACAAATATTAAAATATAAAGATATAATATTTTNTAAAATATTCTAAGAATTTTATATAATATAAAATTCTTTAAAGAACTTGATGTAAAGGTATAGAATTGTTTTCAGAAATATATATGATTAACTATTCCGGTTTCCCAAATTCTAGAAAGTCTAGGAAGATCACAGAGAAAATAAGGGAAATCTGAGAAAAGTCAGGAAAATTAAACATTTTCAAGTGAAATATTATAATCAGTTCTTAATTTTATTTATTGCTAGATGTCATACTTAATTAAATTTTATTGTTTGAGTAAAATGTGTTATTGCATTACTTTCTCACATAAACTTAGTTTATCTTAGCATAATGGACCTACTTCAGATTTACTGCTCTGAGATCTAGTCTTAGCTACTTTCAATAATACCAAAGTTTTGGTATCTAAAGTTAATGGGAGAATTCTGCAGTATATTTAAGTCATACCATGCATAAATATATTGAATGTTAGTCTCTTAAGTGCTTATGTGTGGTTTGATGTTGAAATATGTAATACAAGCCACCTATTACTATTATATGATATCAAAACTTCAATATTACTGAAAGTAGTTAAGATTAGACCACCTGGACCCTTAATCTCAACTTTTGAATTATATATGTAGCAACACGGACAATAAAATATTTTTCTTGTATATTGTTAAGTTTAAGCATACTTTCTACTAGTTGATGATTTATAGCTTTTAGTTATAACAAAATGAAAAAAATTGAGAGTAACCTATTTGGAGTGAAAAATTCTTCCTAAAAGTAACTTGTTAATAAGTTATAAACATAATAGAAGCTGTATTTAAACACTGTTTAAAAGTTTAAGTACTGTTTTAATAATATATAATGCAGACTGTGCCAAGGCACACATGCACTGCAAGAGATGGCTAAATGTGTCATGAATAGTATGAAAGAATATTTCAAAAATGATATTTATATAAAGATTTATTATATTTGTGATAAATTAATAGCTAAGTTAAGCCTGTATGATAGTACTTACTATAGTACACAGCTATTTATAATTTAAAATACAGTCTCATCTTAAAATGAACATGGATAAAGTAAATTCTCATGTCAAAGTGAATTTTGCTGCTGCTCTGGCAAAATGCCATTGTCTAAACATTAATTTTTATACAATAACACAAACAAAAATTTTACCAGAATTCATTAAACCAAATTGTAAATTACTTTTAAAACCCCAAAGAAATAACTCTGTTTTTAATAATGGTTGCTTTTTACACTTTTCTATGTGAACAATAAAAAGTGGTGCTGTAATAAATATTCCATTTTTTGTAGAATAGATTTTCTCTTAGTAAGCAAAAATGGGTTCAATCTCTGATTGTAGAGCAATTTAAACATTTGATTTTAGTAGGCCATTCTACTGTACTCAGAAAATAAGGGTTAAAGTTTAAAGACGCTTGCCCCTTTAAATGGATTCGATCCCATGAAAACACATGCTAGTTAGCATATCAGGAAGTTATAAACAGTGATGCCAGGTTTTGCTACTTTGTGCCAAATTTGGCTCCTTTTTACTCTTTTGATGCCAAAAATTATTTACACTTTTTAAAACAATCTTCAACAAAAACAATTATGGATTTCTTTTAGCTTTGTTTAATCTTTCTGATATACTGTTCCACACTTAACAGCAAATACTGTTTTCTCCTCATTTTGTTTGATTTGAAAATCATTTATAATATTAATTGGTTTTTGTAAGTAAATTTAATTTTATTTATTTAGTAAATTAATTCAAAATATTATAATTTAGAAATTTCAATTGCCTATTAAGCCTTAATTCTCTAAATTATACAACTGTAACCTTGACCTGACCCTGAAAATCATTGTTTTTGATAAGTTGAACTCTAACTACTGTTCTCCTAACAATTCATATTAGCGTGAGTTGACTGTAATATATTTTTAATTTTGTACATGAAATGCACCAGAAAAATTGTGCACTGTGAGCCAAAAAATTTGAGAACAACTGATCCAATGTTTTAAAAATATTATCCTCTTGAAAAATGTTTAAAATATTACATTATACATTTGCATGAGAAAATAGTTTAATATCAGTTGCTGGTATTAAACTATTATCTATTATAAACTAATTATTCAACAAGTTTATTTCCCATTGATATTGTATTGCATACTAGAAGGTAGTGTAATGACAGTTGTAGAGATGAGAGCAAGGAAAAGAAAATTATTAGGCCAGGAGTTAAGTAAATATGCAAATAATTAAAATGCCCTCTCACTTAAAAAATAAATACTAAAAATATGGCTGTGAAATGTATTGAAAAAATTTGATTGGAAAGAAAATCTGAAGTTACATTGGACTAAAAAATTGAGGAAATGAGAAATTTAGGGTTGGAAAGTCAGTAAAATGGGATGTGATTTTAATTTGAGAACCATGTATTTATAAAATCAGCATTATTATATTCTGTGTATTTACTCCTTCATATTTGATAGTTTCTTATCTATAAACATGAAAATCAGAATATTTTTTAAAGGAATTTGAGAAATATGTCCCAAGAAACAAGTTACTGTATTCTATACAAATTTATAGTAATTTTCTTTCTTTTGATTAAAGATTAAGAACTGTTTCTAAATTGCCAAAGAGAAATTCAAATTATTTTATCAGTTGAAAGGAAGTTATTTTGAGCATTGTCTGTATCTTTGTCATATATTAAAATGTCTAATCACTAATGTCTAAATCATTAATATTTTCCTAATTTGCAAGTGTGTCTCGATCTGACAGAATTAGGTCATAAAAACTTTGCATTCAAGTAATGTTAATGATTGAGAAAATGTGTACCATAAAACCAGTATTTGTAAACATTGGAAAATAAAATTATTTTTTTACTTTTAAGAAGAGAGTACTATCATATATATATAATTATTTGAGAAATTATTATTATATGTAATGATATAAAAGTAATTATTTTATAATGAAATTAAACAAAAATATAGTGAATTTTTCTCTCAAAATAAAAATATGAAGAACTCAAAAAAATTATCAGAGTAAAGATAAGTGATTGATTGATTTGACAGAGATATTAAACTAATAACAAAAAATTCCATTTTTTATTTGAGATTCAGAGTTCAAACAGTGTATATACAACATTATATTTAAAGAATTTTGAATTTCTTAAGAAGTTCCAAAAATAGGATAGTTTTTTAATAATTATTATTTACTATGGCTTTAGGGTGGTCCAGATTGGATGGGTGAAGAAAATTCTCCATTGACTGGATTTTCATGGAGAGGTGGTGCAGAACGTGATACTACAGGTATACTTCTTTGGAGTGAACCATTTATACAAGTTTTACCTACTGGAGAAAAAGTAAATATATATTTTACATATTTAATTAACACCTAGTTTTTGTGTTTGAATACTTTATTTTGTATTAATAGATTTTGTATAAATTTAATATATGATGAACTCTGTTAAAATTTTCCTCAGTTTTTTTTTAATTTTACCAAAAAAAGTGTAAGAGAAAAATTAGCCATTGTACTATAAGTTTTCCTGTTACTATAAGTTTACTGAAGATAAACCACTATTATTACTTGAGTAATAATTAATAGTTTTTCATTGTAAATTATTCAATGTTACTTTACTTTTTATTTCTAAATTATTACTTTAATAATAATTTTATTGCACTGCAAATTATTTTTTTTAACATTTCTTTAAAATTTTGAGAAAAAAGCAAAAGAAATTGCTTAGTATAAAAAAACTTTTTTAACTACTCATTTGAAGTTATTTTACTAAAATACAGTGTTTTATAAACTATTTTGTAATAATTTGGTTGATTTATAATTATTTGTTATATGGATTGCTTTCTGTATTACATGTTTAAAATGAATTAAATCTAAGTTGATTTTCTTTCCAAGTAAAACAATATTTTTTAACATATTTAGGATTAAATCACAATCTTCAGTCAAGTATGAAAGTTTGCTATTACTTTAAGATATAGAAAATAATTTTTTTCTTTATAAATTTTTTTCTTTTTCTTATAAATGCTATCCTCTAATTTTTGTTATGAATTAAACAGTTAATTTTATTTTAGAGCAAGTATTTTCTCACCAAATATGACAGCAACCTCTTGCAATCTGTTGGCATATACAATCATTATAAAATGTATGGTAGTTTTGCTAAAAACATATCTTATTCAAAGTTATAAAAGATAAAGTAATATCATAAAATTCTTCTTGATTATTACTAAGATATTTTTGTAAGAAATAGAAAGAATTGCATTTATAATTTAGTATTGGCGTGCAAATAATCTAAAATTTGGTTCCATATCTGCTGAGAAACTATTTATAGCACAGTAGTGACTTCTAATTTGAAATAAAGCCAACACAGTAATTACTAGTAGAATAAAACCTGTTTTTCATATAATAACATTGCAAGATAATTACTACATGGGGAAATTTAAATTCTAATGGCAAATCAACTTTGGAAAGTGATAGGAATTGAAGTGATAGAAACAAGTAATTTGAAATGTTTTATAATCAAATTGTATCAGAAAATTTCTAATTTACTTCTTGTCATCATTTCAATTTAAAATTATGATTATTTGTGTTTTGTAGAAAAGACATCAATGAATTTAAATGTGACATTAGTTCATGAAAATATCTGAACAGAAATTAAAATTTTCAATTTTTTTAAACAGTTTACATTGAATAGTTGAAAAAATTAGATTATCGAACAGAAGTATTTCCAATAATATAAACCAAACATATAAGATTTTTCAGAAAAGGTAAATAATTTAAAATGAAAAATGAAATAGATACAAACATTTTTTTAAATTCTCTCTGTTCAAAAATATAAATAAAGAATTTATAAACAAAAATATGTTTGATATTAAAAATTTTTTTTCTTAAAATAAATTATTTATGAAATACATTTCCAAATAAAATTAAGAGATAAATCAATGTTCTTAATTAAAAATTTATAAAAGTTTTAATTACCGTGGTACCTTAGGATACGAAAATAATCCATTCTGAAACTGAGATTGTAACATGAAAATGCCATAAGGTGAATCATTTTTCCCCACACAATTACATGTAAAACTAAATAATTCGTTTCAACATGAAAAACACACTCAAATTAAAGCTAAGTAGTACATTGAAAAAAAAAACTTTTGTAAAGAAAACACCGAAAAATGCATTTTGTAGTTCTAAATGTATAAATAACCATAATAGAGTAATAGACTAATTGATAAAAAAAATGTAGTTTTATGTGCACTTTACCTTTGAGGGTAGACAATGGTGGGGGTGTAAAGTGGTGGCGGAAGAGGGGGAGAAGGGAAATGTTACTAAAACTTAACTTACGTAACATAATGTAACAATAACTTAAAGATAACTTAGAAAAGATAAAAAAAATTAGTGTTGTTTTATACAGTAATACCCTGAACTTAACACGATAGGTGGGACCGAGCAATAACCGCGTAAGTCGGGGTATAATTTCACAATTTGTGTAAAATCCAAGTCGGATGTATGTAAGCTAATAAATGTTCTNGATAACTTAGAAAAGATAAAAAAAATTAGTGTTGTTTTATACAGTAATACCCTGAACTTAACACGATAGGTGGGACCGAGCAATAACCGCGTAAGTCGGGGTATAATTTCACAATTTGTGTAAAATCCAAGTCGGATGTATGTAAGCTAATAAATGTTCTCGTTAATCTTATCTCGTCTTTTGATTCGTTTCCGGTTACAAGAAATCACCACATAGAGTCTCTCGAGTCTCCGTAGATATAACAAACACAGAAATAAATAATACAAAATAAATTGTAGCTACGTGTCGATTCCGCGCGACACATCTGAACATGTAAGCTGAACAATAGTGTGGGGGGAGTGAGTAATCAAGAGTTGCGTGGCACTCAAACAAAAGACAAATTGATGAGATTTGAAAATCTCGTAACTCTGGGTTCGCGTAAGTCAAGGTCAAGGTATTACTGTATATACAGTGGGTGATCGGTTAACAAACAGATCAGATAACAAACAAATCGGATAGCAAACAAAGTCTTGGAACAGATTATGTTCGTTAACCAATCACCCACTGTATGTTTTTTAATTTTTATTCACTGCTTTTTACTTTTTTTTCCTTCACTTCCACCAGCACTTTCACTGGGTAGAGGTCGCTCGGTAAAATATCTATCCAAAGAGGTTTGGCTTTGCCTACTTTTTAAAATGTTTCTAAAATAACTTAGGCAAATGTCATTACTCCAAGCAGCAATATGGCCAGTGTGAGCCTTTTTGGAATGTTCCTTTTCAATAAAATCAATCAATTTCTGATAATACCTCAAGATTTCCTTTATCAAGCGAGATCCTTCCATGACGAAGCAAACACATGGACTGAGACCAATGAACAGAAGTAAATAAAAATTGGCGCTGCAAACTAATGTAATGTCATATGGTGAGTTTTTGTTCATATTGTGGAGCAAAAATATGTTCAAATTTCATGTCATATCCTGAAAATTTTGTATGCTGGGGCATTTGTATCCTGAGGTACCACTGTATAATGAAGTAGATTTGTTGTTTCCTTTTGTTTTAAAAAGTTCTAATTATGTTGAGATGATCATCATTTGAAGCATTCAAGCTATAATAGCTTGAATATTTTACCTTGTTGGGTAAATGTCATTAAATCATACTCATTACAGAGAAATTTGCACTTAAACTTGGATAAATAACTTAAATATCACTTCTTAAGCATACTTTTTACTAGTTATATTAAATCAAGAAATATGCAGCTGAACTTTTTACAGTTACAAATAGTTTGATTAGTTGAGTTAGCAGCACCCAAGATTAATTATAAAAAGATTAGCTTGTCAATCTGATTTTCCTGTAATTGATATTTGATTTTGATTATAAGATGCATTATCTATTTTATATATTATCTTTTGAAAATATCTTAAAATTATTATTATTTTGAAAGTTGAAATGTGATATATTATATCTGACATTTAAAAGTATAAATTATTGGCAAGTAAGATGATGTGAATAATGTAAACAATTCAATTTATGTTCTATATCTTACAAGATATGCATTTTTGTAGATAACAAATAAATATATTTTGTAAGTGTATCTAATAATCTTGAAGAGTTAATCCAAAATTTTTAAATATTTAAATTAATATTAAAAAAATAAATATAAATATAGTTTACTATGATAATGCATTAGTTTTTATATCTAATTTTTTTTTCAGCATATTACTATTATTGAACTTATGATTTGAAAAGATTATTTTTACAATACTAAAAGACTTACTATGACACCTTGTGAACGTGCAGCCCAAGGTGTCATAGTAAATCTTTTAGTATTGAATAATATGCAGTCTCGAATGAATTGATTATTTTTACCCTTACATTTTTAAATTTGTTTATTAGTTTTTTATGTACGCTGTAATAGTAATTTTGTATGTTTGAAATAAAAAATTTGATAAAAATAAATTGCAGATGTTGAAAAGTAAAACACTTTTATTTTTTTAATAGACAATTTCATTTTTATAAGTCAGATATATAAATAAATAACACTAATTGAAATCTTGAAACGCCATTAACTTTTTTGATCTTACCATTTAGAGATATTTCTAATTTCTGTTCCCCCTTTAATTTTTTATAGCAAAAGAAAAAATTTTAAAGAACATTAATTAATTGAAATAAAACTTTATTTTAAATTTATAACTAAAAATATTTTAAAAGCATTTTTTTGTAATAAATAATTTGACTACAATTTGATTCTAAATGAATAGATTTTAATGTAATTTGATTAAAGTAATTACATTTTTTTACATTGTAATTAATGCTTTGTTTTATGTAGAATGGCTAGATCGTTTACTAAGTGGTTATTAAATTGAGCAAAAATATTATTATAAATAAATAAATATATTTAATACAAGACTGAAAAAAATTTTTAGTTATTGATTCTTAGATATAAATTTTTTGTGGTTCTATTGATTCCACAAATGGAGTTTGTCAATAATTGAGTGTTGTACAAATATCCTACTTGATAGATATTAAGAATAGAGGTTTACAAGATTAATATTTTTTTCATTAAGATCACAAAAAATAATTTAATAAATATTTTCTGTAACGTTCCAGTTTTTCATGATAAAATATATTATCTTGCAGGTAAAAAACTTGGTTATTTTTATAATATAATTATATTATTTATTAATACTTTATTATTAAGTAAAATGGAATTTTTAATTAATATTATTAATAATAGTATGCTTCAAAACTATAAATTATACTTATAAATGTTCTAGTAGTTATTTGTTACAATAAATAAATTATCATTTTATGCTAATTTAAGCACACAACAAAATGCTAATGTGCAATTTAAAAAAATAAAAGGGATTGTAAAAAGTA